GGCACTTTTGAACATCATTTGTGTTAAAACCTGGAAATGGGCTATTATTAACACTAGTGATGCTGGGAAGCATGACATTTGAGGGAGATTAAATGAAAGATTTGTTAAGAGAACATGCATCAAAAGAATATGGAATATTGTTTATCTGCTTACCACCAGTGATTTCCTTAAATAGTTTCCACATATTAAAAGGACTTTTGCAGGATATGAATTTCTGGTTATATATTACATTCAACCTCTGCATTTCAGACTTGATTAAGAAGTTAGTTCTTTTTACACCACTTTTATCTTTCATCTTATACAGTTTTTTCTTATACAGTGTTTCAGATATTTCAGACATTTGAGAACATCAGGAGTTTTCACACCGAAATAATCGACATCTCAGGTTTTTTCACCATTTACTTTGACAATTTCTTCTTGTTGTGTAAGTTCAGAACGTACACACTGTGTGGGTGTATCATTCCATCAGAGAGTGAAAGGTTTTCGGTAAATAATACTGCACAACCCAGTGAAACTGTATCGAGTAAGTTTACTTCATGGTGGAATTAGCTTCCAGTGTCTTAATTGAAGTAGATTTGTTGGTCTCCATACTGGAATTCAATAATGAAAAGTAAATCGTGTGTGGAAAGAGAACGTCATTTTTGTGACCGTGACACATGAAATGCATCTAGCTAAATCTGCAAGTGTTTACTGCTGCGCTGGAGCATGTGAAGCCAGATTATTCCATTACTCATCAGTGATACGCCAACCATAATGTCACATCATTTAGAAGTTGCATTCTCAAAAATCTGTAAGGAATAGATGAAACTCAGAAAGCTAAAAAGTCAAGTATTTCATTCTCCCTTCTTCGAACGTATACGCGTGTAAGTGTTGGGGCTAGAATTAAAATAGTCCTCGATATCACCACACTTACTAAAACTTCACCATCCTATGACATTACCAGTACTCTACCTAACGTGTAAGTACTGATTAACCCAATCAAAGTTTAAAGGCTAAAAATGTAAAGAATTCTTAGTATGAGTTGTATTTAATGTAACTGAATAACAGATTTAATAAATAAAGTGACTGTACAACTTATCTGCAGACGTTGCTGGAGCTAGGCTCGGAGAGTGTGCAGAAAAAGAGCACAACAAGAGAGCGAACCAATGAACGTACGGAAGACTCACAACTCAAAAGATAACAAGTGTATCACCATGGGTGAGCGAGTTTAAACAAAAGTTCAAAGGTACAATGTGCACTTCACACGGATGACGTGATTGTCCATCAAAGATGAAATGAGTAGATGTGACTTCCGTTGGGGATTCCAGTAACTCCAATATTGAAGCAAAGGACTGATACAGGTGTTCAGAACACTGTAATCCTCAAATCCTTTTCAAATTTCCAGATGCTCAAATTGACTGAATGCTGATGAAATAGTAGTACGGGAAGAGAAAGTCCGATGAGATGTTTACAATTCCACGTCATCTCCCGTGAAGACGTCACTTCTAGTTGTCTATCGAAGAACATGCCTAGTGCGCAGAGATTCTCTCTGATTTTCCTTGCAGATGTGGTGTAGTGACACAAAACCAGTGGATGAGGTTGTTAAGCTGAATAGAGTGAAATCACTGCATCATGTCTTACCTTTAATATGCCATTGCATTCCTCGTCTATTATTTGGTATTGGCTGATATCGAATTAGGTTGAAAAAGAGTAGGGATCAGTCGAATCACAATGTGTCTTGATTTAGCGAGTCCCTTAAATGTTGTTTTCAGCCACGTGAGATGGTGTAGACTGTCGAGTTTGGGTAGTGGAGACGCTGAATACCGTTTGCTTCGCACTGTTAGCGTTAATGTGAAAATCATTCACAGTTGTGAAAACGCATTCAACATTTATCAACTCCTGAATGCATCAAACTCTCATCATTATTCTTCCGTGATCACTCCTCAAAATCTTTCGAGTTTCACACATCCGCAAATGATGTCACTGACATTATATATAAAATCTCCTATCAGCACCTGTTACTAGACGACTATCACTGACACCTCCACAAATCCGAATGTAGACACCTCTGAGGAATTTTACTGGACACTGTTGCCCTTCGAGGAAAATTAGCTGTGTCAGAAAATGATCAGTGCTATCGGTGGTATATATGCTAGGGGATACAGGTACAACACTGCAATTAATTCTAGTGAAATTGACATCTTCAGTGTGAACTAAGGAGGTCCTACGTGAGCACATCACCATAATGACCATTTAGATAGATGTGGATCTTCTTTCTAGACAGAGATCTTCATATGTAGTAATTCAAAATGAACCCTTGAAACATTCTTCGAGTTAAAATCAAACGATTTGAAGGTGTCGTGGATTGTGTTGATGTAGTTGTATTGCGGTGCGTCGCTGAAACTCTATTCTTCAATCGCATCCCATAAGAAAAATATGAACAATTATAGTTATCATATTTGTCCGCTTTTCTGAGAAACGATTTTTGATTGTACTCTGAGATAATTAACGCAGAGTGTATATTTGTCTTGATATTTCTGTGTGAATTCTAATACTTGAAAATTCTGATATGCCAAAAGAGATTTACAGCAGTAGATTCTCATTTTACAAGAGTATTCAAGGTCTGTATGATTTTGTGCCTTCCAAAATTAATTTTAAACTACAATTACTAAACACGGAATTTAGATGACCATGTTCAAGAGGTAAATTCTTGTGGTGATGAAGAGGGCGACTTTCAAGAAGTCGTTTGTCGTGGGGAATGATTTGTTTCAAGTTTGATCACAGATTGATATTTGTTAGATGCAACTATCCGCCAGTGATTTGGAGTCTCTGTTATTGTGATGAAATTAGTGCTCATGCTCAATCTTTCACTGACCTAAACAAGACTGAAGGAAAACAGCGAGAGAGAAATCAGGGTGTGTTTCCTACGATGTGTATTCCACTCAGCACCTATGGGAATAACAATGAAAACAACAGTGACATTTATCGTTATATTCGGCGGATCTTCATGAAGAGATTTAAATTTATTGTCTCAATAGTAAATTATGAAGGTGGTTAACTTGTTCAGATAACCGTCCTCAGTAAACATTACTGTATAACACTGTGAGACTTTATCAAACAAAATTTACCCATAATGGAACTGACGTCTGCAGACCTGTCAGTTTCAAAAATTTAGAAAGATTAGATGAGAGAAGTCAGAGAGAGTTTGAAGAAAACTGTTTCATGCAGAAATGAGACTTCAATGCATCTGTTAAATGTGAGTCAATGAAAAACGAAGCGGACGTTTTCATGAGTAGAATAATAAATACCAAGCAGGAGATGGACATGATTGTCACGAAAGAATGTATACAATCCGTGGAGTATTTCAAGTCAGTTGATAGCCATATAAGCACTAGACCTGACACTCAGACACTGAATAAATTTAACCATGTCGAAGAAATGGACGCCTCACTAGTTCACTGTTTCCAGTGTCAAACAGCGCTTCTCAGTGAATAATTATTCCAATGGGGCCGTGGAGTGCCAGATTATTAAGTCGCTGAAGTCGGTAGAGGTGAAAAATTTGCCTAACCTTGTGTATTCAATCCAGTCATTCAGTCTATAACTCATCATCGCATGCTTCACGCGTTAGTGAATATCTGCGGGTAGATTGTTCTTCTACGTTCGGCTTTGTCAACGTCAAATTAACTATTTCATTTTTGCTGCGAACTGCCGATTATTTACGTGGATGCTGTAATTCAAGAGGCAGTTGCAAATGGTGTTAAAAAGTTGTGCAATTCTGTTGACAACATTGAAGATCAGAACTAAGCAAATACACCTGTCATCTATAGATATCTTGTCACTGTTTTCCAATGTTTCTCCCATTGAAAAGTATGTTGTAAATCCTATTTATTGTTAACGATGGAGCATTTAGACAAATATACAATGATGCGATGGAGTCTCCTCACTCGGGCTGCGATCTGAAAACTATCCAGTGAGAAAATGGTCGTTCTAGAAATTTTATAAAGGAGCGTATACATGAGAGGAAAGAAACGTCAGAATGCGCTGAAAATCACCACATTCATCCACTGTGCTCACAAGTGAATGCTGTATAGAAATCTCATAGATATTCACTCCCTTCCTACTCTCGCTCACCTCAGCGTCCTCTGATCATCATGATTAGTTTTTTTCACATTTCGCGTGCTATTCTTTGATTACTTGTCACCAAAAAGTTACTGCGTTTCATTATTACTTTTGAGAGTAGATTTTATATGCAGGTCACTCCATTTGTTGGTATATATTTTTGTAAAATTCACATCACTGTATATGACTCACGCGTGAAACGTATATATGTGTGAGTTATAAATACACAGTCGGGTCATTTACGTGTTTAGTTCCACTGTGCCTCATATTCCCAATGACTGCATATGTCAACTGCAATAAAATGACAATCCGAATAAATGTCAATCTGTCCCGTGATACCAGCGCACTCAGTGCAGTATCTGATGCGATTCTGACTTGTCTCCAACGGCTACTGTATTCTCACATTCATGGCTAGTTACTGTGGAGTTTCATCAATAGTTTATTATTAGGAATTAATGTGAAACACCCCTGCTGAGAATATGTAAAACGTTTATAGTGTTGAACTGTCACGGATAAAATATCCAGCTTCATTTGCAGATTAGTAGGCTAATTCAAATCGTCGCAAAACCAGATCACTCCCCGAATGTGATCTTCCGCTAGGCATTGCGAGTGTGATTTCTTCATGTGGATGCCATGACATGAATTCTGCTTACTATTTGGATTGAAGTATTTCTGCAGATTGATTGATTTCATTACACCTTTCAGATTCCACTGATTCATTGTATGAATCATCCGACATTATGATACGTTGTTTCACTCACCAATCACAACACTCACAGTCTCCAACAAATGAACGATGAATTCATGATCATCGTAGTCAACCAATCACACGATTACAACATTAACTGTGACTGTATGTTGTGGTATAAATAAGGAAGCGAAAAGTCAGTTCACATAAGAAGATGGTCTACTTTGCATACAACCACATAGCTTTCGTCACTCTGTTGGCATTTGTAGCCGTAAACGCAGGTAAGCATTTCTTTGAAAGATGGAATATTTGTGGCTTATTTCGGTGCGAAATATCTGCCTAATTCACTATAACTGCTGAATATTTTGGCAGTTACTCTCACGATCATTCTCTCTGGTTGAGCTTTTACTCCAAAATGCTCACTTTCATGTATGCTTTCATCTCAAACACATCTTACTTGGTAGATGGTGACCAGCAGCATAATCACCGAGACGTCTTTCATCTTAATTCTGACTCAGAAACTGTGTGTGATTACAGTTGCACAGTGACATGTTCTCCTATTCGGATAATGTGTCAGTCTAAAATTTCCTGAGATTTAAATAGGTTGAATACACATTTAGAGATGATGTGTTTCTGCACTGCAATGGCATACATAAAGCGCCCGAGAGCAGTTTGATGCATTTCAACTATAGAAATTGTTCTGATAACCTTCAGTATTCTAAGGCTCCTCCTCTGTATAACAAATATTGTTCGCATTTCTTCTTTTGAATTCAAGGTGAACCATGGAGTAAACAGGACATCGAAGCTAAGATTTCCGCTACTGATCGTAAGCACGTTTTCAATTCATATGATTTGATTTTATCATGTGACTTGTGAATTCATCATGACAATAGTTTATGAATAACGAAGGTCTCACAATGATCGTTATGGTCATTGCTTTCCTTGAAGACTCGGAAAGTGATATATTATCAATGATGACAGTGGGGAGACTGATTAGCACGGAAACAGTGGTGCAGACATACTATCGAAGTGTGCTGAGTGGCTAAAGTGAAATTCCTTCAGACGTCTTTGGATGAAAATATTTCCAATTTGCGTTATACACTTGCATTCAATGCTCTTACTTCCTGTTTGACAATTCATGCAAAATATTCTCGTCTCCTCACAGTACTGATACGCGGAGTCAAACCGATCGTGGATGGTGCAGAACAGGCAGTAAAAACTAGAGAGGGTGAGTAAAACATGATGTCTTATTTTACACAATGTTGAAAGGTTGACCAAAATATGCCTTGATTTGTGCTTTCTAATTTATTACTATGACCACATGAATACAACCATCATGTCAGTCAGTATGTAGCACATAGTAACATGAATGAAATGCACGTCTCTACATGTTGTAAACATTCAACGCTTTCGCTTTTCTGTTTTCCTAGACAAGATTCTCAAGGAAAATGCAAACGTACGAGAAGGATTAGAGACGTGTAAGCAGCAAGTCGAGTTTATTGAAATGATGGACTATTTATTTTAGATGTTAACTGCCTGCGAACTGCATACAAATACAGATCGGGAGAGAACGCATTAACGGTGCGTTTCACGAAATTCTTTTCATTCGAAATGTAATTTCATCCACGAAATTTTTTTCTCCTCACTGACTGTTCATTCAATATACATGGAGTCATTTTCGTGATACACTCCCTGTTGATGATTTGCTTTCTCACTGTTCATTTCAATAATTAACGCTTATACGACTGTCGCGTGGTGGATGTTTGCAATTGTGTTGACTACAAATCGATATGATATGTTGAATATATGCAATTAATAGTGTTCTCTGAGCTGGTTGGTTTAGTTGTGGACATCCTTCTGGACAACATCTTCAGCGCAATATTTAGCATAAAATGAAATGATTTAAATTTCTTCTTGAGTGGTATAATTGCGTCCCCCGGTAACCAACTTTACACATGTATTGACCATTTCCTGTTGATTTGAATTTTAAATTTTCTGGTCACCTGAATATAAATATATATATATACTGAATATATAAACGTCTTTCTATCTTTCCTAGAAATCGCAAACCATCTCTCCAACGGTAAGCTATATATCTTGAATCATTTCTGTACTTATCTTTCACCATAATTATTTCACCTCAATTATCTGACTGACAGCACTCAGTTGGCTTATATTCCCGCCCTACCATCTCAACTGCCTTTTATTTGCTGACATCAAATAAAGATGGCAAACTACGTCATGCACTGAACATGTGGAGGTGCTCGAGGACAGTTGTTCGACTGAGGCATTTCTCATTTCGGATATTCTCTGACAATCCGCCAACTAGTAAACATATTTTAATCGTCTGAAATCTGATTGTATTTGCCTTTAACATGCGTAAATGTGTATGACATTGAGAAGAAGAGAAGTAGCTTGATGTGTGTGACACTCCTTTATTTACAGAAAATGACCCCAGATTCAAGGATACAGTGACGTGTTGCCGACAAGAAGCCTTAGAATATCGTAGTAAGTAGCATTTCATTACGCCAACCAGTCTGAATTGTTTCGTCAGTGTGGTGTAACAATTTTCGAAATGCCATTCTCCACACCTCTATTGTAAATCTGAGTTATTTATCACACCGTGTTTCACTCTTACTCACCCATGAATAGGCAAGACGATGGCGTTTCCTTTGGACAAGTGTTGGGAAAATATGCCTGAAGTGCCTCACGAAGGTATTCGTTTGTTCATTTTTTATATTCTTCATGAAATGAATAACATTTTCATAAACTCCCACGACGACGATGATATATTTCCACATGTCACAATATCTTCATCATGATTTGAATTCATGAACATCCACCTCTTATTGTACGATAGTCTACGATGAGTATTTGCAGTGAGTCAAGTAATAATGGGTGAAGCAGGATGAGCAAGTTCAGTGTTCATGATATGTTCAGTCGTCTACAAATGAGATTGTGAAGATAATGTTATCGTGAGCAGAAACACACACTAGAAGACTATTTGTTGAACGTGATACTGATTGAGTACTAGCATAGTGGCATCATTCAAGTGGGTGAGTTGGTACAGTAGAGAACTTGTTGAGTCTGCGCGTGAAACAGATTGTTTTGCATCTTTTCATTTCGCATAATTTCCAGTTTGAACGTCGTAGTATGATTGTGAGATATTTACTCTACAAGGTGTTCATTGATGAATCATTCCAGATCTTCATCAACTGAATGTGCTGACTTTTACACTATACAACCACAAGCACTGGATTGCCAAACAATATTGTGAGTCCATTTTCTCTGTATGAATTTACTTCACAATTGTAAATTTGTAAACGAAAACAGTGTAAACGTTGTGATTTGGTTTCGCAAATAGTCAGTGCCTGCCTAATGTTAGTTATCAGACAAGCGCAGTGATGGACAACAAACCATTTCACTGGTCAACTCAAATATTTCTCAACCTGTTTTATCATTTCTAGTTTACAAGAATCTATACAAAACCCAATTGAAACAGTTGACAGGTGAGGTTTATTTTGCATCACATTTCCACATCTTAACATACGAAGGTCTGTTATCGGTGTAGTGACTCTAATATGAAGCGCACGAAATGTGAGACAGTGTTGTGGATGATGAATGGGCAAAGCACAAGACACGATGCAGATATTCAACGCAACAGTTCGAGAATAATTTCACCGTTGAATATTCGACAATATTTCGGCTGAAATACTGTTTAATGAATGTGTGGTTCAAATGACAGCTTTGAATACTCCTGTTTAATCGAATGTTAAAAGCGTTATGAGTGTCGTTGTAGGTTACAGTGGGGATATTCATCAAGGAATAATATCGTAGCGGATCCAAATAGATGGTATGGTGAATGTATGAGAATGCATATGCGCACTTCAAAAATGTCACTGAGGCTGTGCAAGCAAGCTAGTGAAATTCACACGACCCATAGTGAATCATTGAAATATAGCAACTCGAATACCCCGAAAAATGGTGGATATGGCAATCATCACTCACTGAAAATATTCAGAACCCTCAGATTCTATGAATAAGCACACAGTTCACCGACAATCATCCTCCTTCTCACTATTAGTCTCTCTTGATTATTTCACCACAAATATTTCATGCAATAATATTGCTGACTGATTTTATTCTACTACAGGAAACTGAAGACAAGTACCAGGATGAATGTCAAAGTTTGAATATATGTAGATTGTAGAATCTTTCGTAAATATTTCCTTTTTAATTAAATTAAATAAATAAATCACTTTTCTGCTACACCGCCTTCTCTTCATGAAATCAAACTTCATTCAACTGCTGTTTGTAATCAGGTGAAGGCTGTCATCATTGGGAATCTGGTAATGTGACATTGGTTATTAGGTGGCTGTTGTCACACTTTGTCTCTTTAATAGGGAGCTCGCCAGATACCTCTGTGAGTAGACAGCGTTTACGTGGCACAAATTGTTTCTTGTGTTATTCACTCACATGAACCTTGTGACAGATGTCATCGGACCTACTGTTTTATTAATAACCAATGGTGTGAAGTCATATATGCGTCACTGACTTCATCTTGATTACAATTGAGTCAATGCCTTTTGAGCAGGTGATCATGGATGAAATGGACTTAGTGAACCAAGAGCACGTAATACACGTTTCCATATCATTTTTAAATCAAATAAGTGGTTACATGTTATTCACTTATTCTAGGAACTAACACGTTTGTAACAGTCATCCGTTCTGTACGACAACAAATAATTTATCTGGAACTCAGAATTACCTCAAAATTGTCGTTAGGCAGCTATATAACGAAGCGATATTTCAAGTAGAAAACAAGGAGTGCAGTGCAAAATTAGTGAACCAAAATGCAACCGTAGGCAATAAGTAGGTGAGAATCAAGTAGAATATTCACAACTAGGTGGCATTAGACGTCTCTTCACCAGAATCACACACCAACAATTCACGAAGAGAGTCGAAGATAAGAATCGCCTCGATTAACTCAAAATCAATCACATTGTAAAACAACATATTTTCAATGTATCGTAAGACCACAAATGGAGGCAGTGAGATCTAACAGCAAAGATCTAACAGGGACACAGACAAATTATAAGCATGAAGTGAACATATGATAGGCAATCGTCATAACGATGATATACATTGTAGGCGGTGAGAGGAAGCCAACTACAAAGTAAGTTGAAATATCCAAGTAAGTACAGTTACGGCAACTAGGTAGTTCAAGAGAAAACGTTCAAGAACTTATAGTGGTATTCGTTACATAAGATAAAGGCAATAAGAAGACGTAATTTGTCTCAATCGTGTCATGTATTTGCGCCCACAACACATTTCGAACAGTCTGATCCATCACACACGGACTTGTCATAGGAATATATATGAAATTAATAAAGAGGCAAGAGGTGAGAAATAGACTACTTAGGTCAAGTTAAAAGGAGGACATATTCAAGGTCAAAATAACAATGAAGACCACTAAACCAAATAGCAGAGGTAATAGTACATCTGCTATGGCTGGTATCAAAACAAAATTTACCAAGGAAGGTTTAATGTGATTGTTTTTGAACGCATAAATGTGGCTTGAACTTTCTAATTGCTAGGGCTTTTACAAACGTTAGGATACCCCGCAAACACTTTTTATAGATAGGTTTAAAAGATATGCTAACATGAATTTTATGTCCTGTCTCTATAATATGCTTCGCAATAGAAGAGCTAGGTCCCCTGTTCTCACCGTTAATAGGTTCTGAAGATTCCATTTGTTTCTGGAGCGATTTAGGAATATGTTCCTATAATCTGTTCGCTGTTTTTCCCTATGGAATCTTTCTAGGTGAATATGTACTCAGTTCACAAATAGTGGAGCGTTTCTTGTTTTGCAACTCAAATTTAGCACTTCTCGTGGGTGCATAGAAGAGTGGAACCAATATCGAGATCGCTAGTTTGGAATACTGCTTGTGTATATCAAGCGTCAATAGGGATGCACACATGTAGAAGATTTGAAACCCGATTATATAACTTAATGTACCTACTAGAGAGCGAAATCTAGAATTCCCGTTCAACTGTTAACATTAGTTCATTTCTCAAAGTGATAAAATGAATGAGACACGTCTGTTTCAGCAGAAACTGGTGTGCTAGCTGAATATTGATTTGAGAATAGTGCACAGGCTCATGCGTGTTTACGGAAAGAAGAATTATTTGTGCTACTGATGCACACCACATAATGATACAGAATGATTAGTACAAGTGTGTTAGTTGTATAGTGCTTATTAAATATTATGAACACGCTACACATGAGGTGATTTTGATGACGCGTAATTGTTTATAGAATGAAGAAATATTTTTGTCATCTGAGGTCAACATCACGGAATGTGTGACTTACTAGTACGCATCTCTCTTTCTAACAATTATACTTTAGAAATAATCTGATTAAAACAATGATGGAAATAATAGCTACATTGCAATGAGTAATTTTGATAGAAATATCCAATTTTCACCAGGATCAGCTCAGAGAACCAATAGGAGCGATAGGACTTCAAATAGTGTGTAGAATCAATCGGTTGGATCAGTAGAAAATGGAGCTGAATTGATTGGGTCACTTTCCAGAATTATCACATTGGTCCACATCACTTGTTGCACATGAGACAACTTAATGCAACATTCATCGTGAAGTCAATATCTTCAAAGCAATCACCATTCCACTGAAACTGATGGAAGACGAAACGGGTTAATATGAAGTCATCTTATGGCTGTCAGTAGTGTACGAGTGAAGTCAATTCGATATGAAGCAGAAACCGAGATATTTCATAAATCGGGAGGTGTATGTCAGATACCAGTACGTAAATAAGAAACACCTGGGAAACATTAACCAATGTATGTCCTTGGTGTCAATTAACCTTACAGATATCATGTTTAGTGGTGGTCGTTGAGGAACTGCATTGTCAAGCACGTCTATACAAAGCGTTTTATTATCTATACTGAACTTCACGTTTTGCTTGATGTATCAGATATCACAATGGTTCTCTTCCTATAAACTTGCCGTTTTACTTATCACGCACAGTTCACTTCAGTTTTTTGGAATTTGGTTCTTCTCAGATTGACTAATTCTGTGTGGGCTGGAGTCCTTGTGGAATCCATTCCTACAAATGTATAGTGAGTAATGATCAGTCGAAGTAACCTGTAAACATTATCACCCTGTATTCATTCACCTTCTTAATGATCATTCACGAATTCATGTTGAAAGACCGTAGAACTGATTTCGATTTACTTCACTGTAAGGCAGTCTAATATAGATTATTGAAGCGGCGTTCTGTTTTGAATCATATGGCTGGTGAGACGTGATTTTTATCTACTGAATGTCGCTTTATACTCTGCTCCGACATCATGGAGTAAATATTGGAAATATATTTTGTGGTGAGCAATATCACGTGAGATGTAAGAAATCAAAGATTCAAAATTGTCTTGTGAAATACATTTCAAATAATTATTGTGCAATCAAGGAAAACAACCAGTAGGAATCCGGTCAACTTAAAACTCATAACGGCTTTGTCTCAGCTCAACTCTGCATGTCGTGTTTCTTTCGAAAACGATTCAGTCTAATTGATGAGTCAAATCACTGAGAAATTGATGAATGAGTCAGGACGCAGATATCAGGTGTCAAGGTGACTTACAGATATACTCAGATGAAGGTGTTAGTGAATATGAGTAAACACTACTTCATGTCATCCTGTTGATTCACCCGACATGGTATTCACGACATAACTGATGTCACTGGAGGCTACATTAGCTTTTATAAACAGGCATACGTCACATTTCATTGTTTACGTTACAGGCTTCTCTATTTTATATCCGTCTGTGGATATTCACGCAAGGGATGACATGAATTGAGATGCATTGCACATCGTGTCAAACTGGTTGATGGCCTCAACAAGGAATTTCTTAAATACAGTTATAATGTGCTGTGCAGAGGGCGACAGAAGTAACACTGGTTTCAAGGATGCGTGATGTTTCTGATGCCGGGAATATCTGCCTACAACGTCGTTTGGATTCTGAAATAGTTAATCAGCCAACACTCGGCTTAGTTTGAGAAGCAACTGATTCATATGTGATGTACATGAAACTTGAACGCCATTTGATAGGTGAAGTATATTTTAGAGGAAATACACTTTGGGAACTGCATGAATACACGTAGAAATAAACTACTTCTTTCGAACTCAATTTTCACCTTTCCCCCACTTAGTATTCGGAAACTCACTCAGAGGTACTGTGATTTCTCATCCTCACTTTCATCAACCTTCGTATTTCGACCCGAAAGTGGTAGATTTCTCAACTGCTTATATTCTCTACAGTCTATTCGCTTCTGTTTTAGTTTGCTTATTAGATGTATCACACAATGAAACAGTATTATTTACTGGATGACGTTTCGAACAAAGTTTATTGTGCTTTTTGTAATCCTTTACGTTCTCAGTAGAACATAGGGCTTCACGCTAGTGGCTTGAAGCTTTTGTAGCAGTCTTGATTATTTTTACAGGATGGGGTTGTTAGCCTCATGTCCAAACTTCCCTTTTTATTAGT